TTCAGGCCTAATCAGCTCGTGCCGGTCCTCTAACGGACCTACTTAACCCAGTGAGGATGAGTGTGCAGCTGCTGTCCCCACTCTAGCGGGTGGGCAGCCATCTCCTTGCTTCCAATAAATCTCTTGGCTGAACCTCTATTTCGGTGTAATAGATCCACTTTCATTTCATATATATATATACACACATACACACACACATATTTGTGCAATTATATATTTCAAATTTACTTATTATGTCCTCATTCTGCTATAAATTTTGAGATAACAAATAAACATACCCAATTCTTTTCATTTACTAATTCACATTAACCCCTAGAGTATATTTGATGCTAGTATGGGAGAGTAGCAACAAAACAACTGTGGATTCAATTCAGTATAAATCCTAACAGTAGCATCACCAGTATTTATATATATATATGCATATGTCAAGCTCTATTCTAAGTGATTAACATTAACTCATAATCCTCACAGCAACCCAGTATATATTATTACTAAACTCATTTTATAAATTGAGAAAACTAAAAGAGAGGTTAAGTTAACTTAGTCAAGGTTACATAGTCATTAAATAGCAAAGCTAGGATTTTTTTTATATACTTTATTTTTATTTATTTATTTTTATGTGGTGCTGAGGATTGAACCCAGTGCCTCACATGTTCTAGGCAAGCGCTCTATCACTGGCCACAAACCCAACCCCAAAGCTAAGATTTGAATCTAAGTGGTCTTTGCTCTTAACTGCTACACTAAGCTGCTCATACATTTAAAAAACACTTTTTTAGTTGTCAATGGACTTTTTATTTTTTAATTAATTTATTTATACGTGGTGCTGAGAATCGAACCCAGTGCCTCACACATGCTAGGCATGCACTCTCGCACTGAGCTACAACCTCAGCCCATGCTCATACACTTTTAAAACAGGTCTTTAAATAAAATTTGTCTTTAAAAATTATACTCAAGGGGCTGGGGTTATGGCTCAGTGGTAGAGTGATGTCTAGCATGTGTGAGGCACTGGATTCAATTCTCAGCACCACATATAAATAAATTGATACATAAAATAAAGGTCCATTGACAGTTTAAAAAAAGAATTACACTCAAGGGCTGGGATATAGCTCAGAGGTAGGGCACTTACCTACCAACTAAATAAATAAATAATAAAATTATACTCATTAGACTTCGTTGTTAAATATAATTTTGGGGTAATATTAAAATCCTTTTAGAGTCCCAGATTCTATAATATCAGCAAGTACACTAAAATTTGGTTATTGTATAGGAAGTCAATAATTCATGCACTCACAATTTGTTTCTAGAATTTAAATGATGTTACACAATAATATCATTGTAAAAACTTCAAACTGCAGGCAATGACTAACAATCAGAAAATCTGAGAAAGGCCTTAGGTATCATTCCCTATAGTATTTCAACTCCAACATCCTTTATCCAACAAAATCATACAATTCATTAATATTTCTACTTATTAATTTTCACTTTCTCCAACCTCTACCCATTTCCCTATTGCTTTTCTTATCCAACTTAAATTCCAAGATCAACCACTATAATCACTTCCAAGTACTCCTGATTCCTTTGCTTCAACCTGACTTCATCACACTTGCCTGGCTAAACCATAACTCTGCTTTTTCCACCTACTCAATGCTAGCACATGCAGTTGAACATAGACAATGCTAAGGAATTCAGCTTAAATTCATTATCACTAACCTCAGTGGATATTTGATGATACATGACAATCATAGTACATTTATTTAATTGATTCACTCTGACACGCTCCTAGTTAAATATTTCATACCTTCCTTCTCCTTCAGTCATCTACAGTAGTCCTCCTTTTCTGAGGGTGATATGTCCCAAGACCACCCCCTCCCCAGTAGATGCCTGAAACTATGAGTAGGAATGAACCCTATATACAGAGTACTTTGTCCCCCCCATATATACATACCTATGATAGTTTAATTTATAAATATGTACAGTAAGAGACTAGCAGTAATCACTGATAATAAAAGTAGAAAAATTATAACAATATACTGTAATAAAAGTTTTATAAATGTAATCTCTTTCAAAATATATTATTATACAGTAATATTTTCTTACTGCCATCAGTGTGGATAACTGAAACCACGGAAAGTGAAACTGCAGATAAGTGAGGGCTATTGTATGACTTTCCTCTTATCCTTAATTTCATTTGGTGACCCTGTTTCCCATTTCACCAAGAAAATGGAAGCAAGCAGAAGAGAACTCTGCAAATTCCCACCATTCCGTCTATACAGCAACTATACCCATTTACTTCACCATCTGTTACTTCCTGAGAATTGTCCATGTTCCTAGCTAAAGCTAATCCCCATTTATAAATATAGCCTGTCCCCTCTTGCCTACAGCAATTCTCTCATTCTCATTTTCTTCCCTATTTATTAGATCATATCCAGCCACATAAAAACATGTTATTCCCAAATTCCTTAAAAACAAAATAATTCTCCTTCTCTTCTGGCAACCATCTCATGTCTGTCTTTTCATACCAAACTACCTTGACAGAGTTTATAATTGCTACTCCCACTACCACTCTTTCAATTCTCTCAGACCTTCTCATAAAGGCTTTTTAACTTCCATTAAAAACAAACAAACAAAAACCCTGTTACTATCAAGGTCTCCAATATTGTCCACATTGCTAAATCTAATGATCAATTCTCAGTTCACATCTTACTTGTGCTCTCAGAAACATCTGAATGGTGGATCACTTTCTTCCTTGTATACTTAGTGACCCACTAACTGGTATCCCTGTTTATACCCTGCCATCCTGTGTCTATTCTCAACACAGTATGCAGAATGAGCCTGTTAAATCTGTTGTGTACTCTTTTACTCAAAACCTTATCATAGTTTCTAATTTCAGTTACAGCCAAAATTATTCTAAGTACCTACAAGACCTTGCGTAATATGCATTCCTCCCCACCCCTCATTATTTGACTGACCATACTGGTTTCTATCCTGCTCTTCTGTCTTTCATCTCTCTGCTCCAATCACACATAGTGCATTGTCTATGCTGCACTGAACCACACTGGTTTCCTTGCTGTTGTCTGAATATTGCAGGCATACTTCCAACTCAGGGCATTTCTCTGTCTGGAAAGCTCTTCTCTCAGATATTTAGAGTTTATTTCTTTCTTTCAAGTCTTTTCTGCCTATTTAAAATTGCAAACCCTGACCTATTTCTTTTCTTTTTCTTCTTCTTTCTTTCTTTTTTTTTTTTTTTTTTTGGTATTAAGAATTGAACCCACTATGCCACATCTCCAGTCCTTTTTATTTTTGAGAGAGGGTATTGCTATGTTGTTTAGGGTGTCCCTAAATTGCTGAGGTTGGCCTCAAATCCATGATCCTCCTGCCTCAGCCTCCTGAGTCTCTGGGATTACAGGTGTGTGCCACTATGCCTGGTTTGACTCCACTATTTCTCATCCATTCTCCTCTGCTTTACTTTTCTCTTTTGTACCGGCTAACACACCACCTGATATTCATTTATGCAGACCACTTCTGACTCTCTTGACTTTCCCATTATCAGGTAAAGTCCATCAGGACAGGGGTTTCTGTCTGTTTTGTTCACTGATTTATTCCCAGTATTTAGTACAAATGGCTAGCTAGCAGTTAGTAGTTTAGAAGGCACTCAACAATTATTTGTTGAGTAAATAAAAAATAAACAAAATGCATGATTTGTTTTCTATGCACAAAAATAACAAAAAAAGGTACCTAAAATAGAAATCAATCTGTAAGGGAGTTACATTCTTGGGAAATAAGTATTATGATCTATAATACTTCTAATATAGTTCCAAGTGATTGAGTAAGGGAGTTTGTATAACATCCAATGACTTGGGAACATGCTGTTTATGTTATACTTATTTTGGAAAAAAATTTTAGCATCACTACATAACATATGTCATCCTATGTGGGCATATTAGCAACCTTTGGGGTTAAATCTTTAGCAAGATATAAAATATGTATTGATGTATACAAATAAGGCACTACCTACCTTTTCCCTACTTCTACTCCTTAACAATTTTCTGGTTTTTCATTTAAATACTTGGAATATTTTCTCTTACAAAGAAATATATAACCTAATGTAAATATCCTGTGGTACCTAAACACAATAGAGAGTGTACAAACTGACTCCCACACACTCTTGGATGTGCTCCCTTTAAATATTAATATCAGAGTATGAAACATCTGGTTTAACAACTGTCTTACATGACTAGCATAAACTATTGATATTCAGATAGGTTTATCTCTTAGGGAATCACAGTGATCACCATAAAGCTCTGCATTTGGATGTTAAAAATAAAAAAGAATCTTCTTTCCTCCTAAGTCAAGAATATATAATTCCATATTGGGACAGATTCATGGTCTCTAATCCTAGTGTTCACCATTTTAAAATATTAACAGAATTAATTTTGTAGGACTGCAAATTTGACATGAATATTAAAAGTCTATCATATCATATTATGATATGATAATTTCCCTTAGTAATCTCTAAAGAATTAGGTATAAATTTCCTTAAACCTTTCCAACCCCAATTTCAGTCTTTACACCCAAATATATCAAGTAATTCATTTAACATTAAACATGCTATGTGGCACAACGGTGTGAGAAATTAGAATGATAAAATAGAACTCCCAATCTGGAGAGGGAAATAAACAATGAATATATTAAAACAATAAATATAATGTAAATGGCAATTTTTTTCACATGTGAAAAATATTCTTTATTAATTTCTCTCATTTCATTACAAAATGTATGTTGGAAACAATTTGAATAACCTACTTGTGGTTTTTTTGTTTGTTTGTTTGTTTGTTTTTGTTTTTAAATCCCTGGCTTCAAGGACTGAGAATCTCCCTATCTTTTACCAAGTATTGGGAAACATTGATTATTGTAGTCAATAGGTTATCATTCTGCTATTTATTTTCTCTTCTCAAGCTCTGAAAAAAATGTCCTCTGTATAAATTAAACAACAACACCAAAAAAATATAGAATGCTTCACAAATTTATGTGTCATCCTTGTGCAGGGGCCATAATCTTCTCTGTATCGTTCCAATTTTAGTATATGTGTTGCCAAAGTGAGCACTAAATGGCAAATTTTAATAACTGATGAAGAAAAGATCAAGGTCCTTTGGGAAAATGATATGGAGATGGGGACATGATATGCAAACTTGGGGACATGAACAATTTTTTTTTTTTAGTTCCTACTTTGTGCCAGGCACTGTTTTTGGTACACTCCCAGTTACAAACTTAAGAATCACAGAATTATTTAGGGATACTGAATAGGATATTTCACCACTAAATTTCTGTTGGTTTTATATGTAATAAAAAAATAAGAGCGTCAAAGCAAAAAAAAGAAAATTTTTTGAGTGAATTCAGAATTTAAATAAAAATATTAACAAACCTTTTGGATAATTTTTACTGGCATATATCTAAACTTCCAAGTACTTTTGTTTGAGCTAAAGGCTACATTATAAAACATCTATATTTTGCTTTTATCCTATAAAATAGGACGTAAGTCAATAAGATTTCCCTATTCCAGAGTCAAAGATGAACCTCAAATATTTTAAGGAATACAGTAATGGCATATTATTTTATTACTGGTAGTTTTTCATACATTTATTAAAATTGGGACAACCCATTTTAGTTTATAGATGGTCTACAGAAATATACATTACTCTACACACAGCCTTCTCAAAACATTGGAAGCTTTCCATGCTTCAGCAAAAACTTTACTACTTTCAATTAAATGTCAGTACAGCCAACCCATAACATCCATTAGAAGTTGTTCATCTGTTTACTGACCTGCGCTTCCACTGCCATTAATAGCATCCTTGTCTTCATCTTCTTCCTCTTCAGGAAGAGAGCTGTCCATTCTTTCCATCTTGCTGACAGATGTTGTTCGTTTTCTTTGGGATTCTGTGTCAAACTCATTATCAAAGAGGACCTGATCAACTGGATCTGGCTGGAAAGGGCTGGGTTCTGCTGGAGGCTTGGGAGTTCCATAGAAGTTTCCTGAAGTGGACAAAATAATAGCAGCTGAAATCTTCATGCTGAATTGACTCAGAATAATATGGCCTACTGTATATCCCTACTGTTTCTTACACTGAAGTTTTGGAATATCTACCATTGTCCAAAAGGTCGACCTAAGCACTCCTTGTGAGAGAAGGAGGTAGAAATAACAGAAAGAACTAATTTCTCAAGAGCCCTTTATCATATATCATCTAACATTTGAATACTACTAAGGCCAGGAAGTTGATCCATCCATCCTTCCATCCTTCCATCCTCCCTCCCTCCCCCCCCCCCCCCCCCCCCCCCCCCCCCCCGTCTTGATTATTGCTCCTACAAGACTTGCTTTACATGGGCTTTGAATTAGGACCTAACTTGTAAATTTAAAAGCATCAAAGCTGTCATGTAAGACGAACTAGTACAAAAGGTGGGAGGTAAAGACAATAAAAATAACTCAAATAATTTTGTTTTAATATACGTAATGTATTACTTTAGTAAGATGAGGAAATATGTGGGCAAAGGATAAAGCTAAGAACTAAGCAGTTTGCAAAGAAATATGGATTGCTGATATAATTTTTACTTTAAAAATTTTTAAATTTTCTGAGCATTCTAATTATATTATCTGACAATCTATTGAACAAATAGTGACATTATTAGTCTAATTCAATATTGGCTTATTCTCATGAAAGCAAGAAATTAATTTTCTCTTGAGGATTAGTGGTTTTTGCAGTAAAAATAAACATTCCAGAGTAGAAGGAAAACAACTGAATATCTTCTCAAATTGTCAAGTGGCTTCCTTCCTTGAGGCAGCCCAACACAATAGGAAAGCACAGCTACATTAACAGTGTGTAGCTTCCACTAGGTGTGACCTTATATTAGTTGTTATGCTAATTTTATAAAAAGTAAATATGATTAGAAAGTAAAATACTCATGATATTTTATTTTAAAAATCCACAACTTTCAATCAAATTCTTTGAAGCTAGGGAGATAATTAAGATGCTCATATATATAAGGTCAATTTATGAGGTAGATGCATTTTTTTCCTGGGTAGAAAAAAATCATAGGTTGCTCCCTGTAGCACTAAGACTCATTTACGAATGACACAGTTAACCTTAGGTTGGGAATGTTTGAGGGAGAAAGTGTCAAAATTAATTCCTGAAAGTTTAATTTTGAGTGGTGTCATTAAATAGTCAAGACAAAACAATAAACTCACACTAAAAAACTTTTCAACTACATCTGTCTCTCCCACTCAACTACTCCCTTGTTTCCAAATCCATGTTTGAAATGGTTGCTTATTTCACAAAGACAGATGCAAAAATCTGTATTAACACACTCCAGACTTTGCAAATTTCCTGGGTCCTAAGTACAAAACCAATGGAAAAGCAGGTTAAGGCTGGGAAGCAGCTCAGTGGCAGAGCACTCTCCCGACTATGTGAGACCCTAGATTCCATACCAACTATAAGAAAAAGAAAAGAAAAAAAAAACAACAACATGGGGCTGGGGTTGTGGCTGGGTTGTATACAGTGTTTACCTGGCATGTGTGAGACACTGGGTTAGATCCTCAGCACCACATAAAAATAAATAAAAAATAAAGGTACTGTGTCCAGCTAAAAAAAAAAAAATATATATATATATATGTGTGTGTGTGTGTGTGTGTGTGTGTGTGTGTGTACACACACACACACACACACACACACAAAAGGAAAACCACTACCATCAACAAAAACACAAATACTGGTTACTACTTCTCTGGGCAGAGAGTACAGAAATAATCCAAATAGAGGGGTGGCCAGGGAATAAAATATTCTAGGATCTCATTTTTCCTTTATTGTGGCCAATAATCATACTCTGAAGGAATAAGGATATATCCTGTGACAGAAATAAAAAGTCCACTTTTCTAAGGATGATGGTAGTCATCCATAGTCACTAAAAATTTAATAATTATTATCTAACTCTAGAAAGTTTAACTTTTTCCTAAGGGGAAAATTGGAAAAATGCAAGATATTAGAGCTGCTATCCATAATCACTGCAAAGATTTCAAAACTTCAGAATAAATTTTGGCAGTTTCCTTGTTTAGAAAGGTAATCATTGCATATACCTATAATTCCAGTGGCTTGGGAGGCTGAAGCAGGAGGACTGCAAATTCAAAGCCAGCCTTAGCAACTTGGCAAGATCCTAAGCAATTTAATGAGATCCTGTCTCAAAATAAAAAATCAAATCAAAAGGGCTGGGAATATGACTCAGTAGTTAAGCACCCCTGGGTTCAATTCATAGTACAAAAAAAAATTAATCATTGGGCTTAGTAATCTTAAACCATTGATAAATATTAACATTCCAGATGGCAAGGTATAAAATTCCAAGGTTTGTAAACCCTGACTGTAATTACTAACAGAAAAAAATTTAAAAAAAAATTTTTTGGAACTTTTCTTTTTCTTCCAAAGGCCGCTGCACTTTTATAATATAATTGCCAACAATTAAATAATTCAAATATACATAAAATTATAGATAACAATATTAGAATCATATTAGAAATATATATTTTATTTATATAAATTTATACTTATTTACATACACATTATCCAGATAGTACCACTGCAAGATTTCTTTGAAATTTTCCTTCTTTCTTTCTGAGGATATACATACCTAATCGTAAATACAATTGAAGCCCTAATTTCCTGACCAATCCTTCCCACTGCCTCCCTGAGTTGTCCTGAAGGTGGTACATGTCATTCTTCCTAAATACTGTATACATCTAGGGTATATATACATGCATCCATAACAAATAAATATTATTGTTTTTAGCAAAAGTCTGAGTGTTTTCATAATGTTTCATTATTTTCATAAAGAATATATTGTACATATACTTTTGTAACTTTCTTTTTATTCAATTATATTTCAAGAACATATCCATGTTATACATATAAACATATTTTATTCAATTTCTGTGTAATAAATCCATAAATCATAAATCCATCTTTATGAACAAAAAATGCATTTTATTCATTCCCCATCTACAGAAGAGTTATTTCTATTTCTATTCTGTCGCTATTTCAAACAGTGTTATAATGGATATTTCTGGCTCCTATGTACATAAATACATGGAAAACAGTTTCTCTAGGGTACATATCTAGAGAAGGAACTGCTAGGTCAGTTACTGAATTTACCAGTTATTGCCAAAATGTTCTCCAAAGCGACTGTACCATTTTATATTCTTGCCAACAATGTATGGAAAATTCAATTTCTTGCAATTATTAGACTTAATTTTTTTTTTAACCAATCTGATAGGTGTGAAATGAGGTATGATTGTTGAGCCATGTGTTGTAGCACACACCTGCAATCCCAGTGACTCAGGAGGCTGAGGCCAGCCTGAGAAACTTAGGGAGACACTGTCTCAAAATAAAAAAGTAAAAAAGGGGCTGGGGATATAGTACAGTGGGCAAAGCACCTCTGAGTTCAATCCCTAGTAGCCCAAAAATAAAATTAAATATATAATGTTTTAATTTACATTTCCTTTGAATTAAGCACATAGTAGACAATAACTGAAAATATGCAATATGCCACTTTATCATATACCAAGTTCTTATGCTTCATGGATGCAAATCTAAGAAAGTATTTTTATACTTTAAGGACAGAAGACTTTGTAAACAAAACTTCAAAAGCACAATTATAAAAAAAAAGTAATGAACTGATGTTTAATTTTTTTTAAATTTATTTTTTAGTTATAGGTGGATGCAATATCTTTATTTTATTTTTATGTGGTGCTGAGGATTGAACCCATTGCCTCACACACAGTAGTAGGTGAGCGCTCTCCCTCTGAGCCACAACCCCAGGCCCTGATTTTTAAATTTTAAAAATTCTGTTTAATGAAGAAATACAAGACAAGATTAACAGGTGACAGAATGGGAGAAAATATCTACATCTAGTAAGAGAGTAATATCTAAATATCTAAGGAAAACCCATAAATCAGAATATGACTGAGATCTCAACTTGGGAAAAAATGAACAAAGAAAATGAATGTAGTGCATAATTTGCAGAAGTTCAAAAGACTAATAGGCACATGGAAAAATGCTCAGACTC